AGTTGAACAAATTTATATAAAAAAAAGTTCACAAATTTTAAAATTAAAATAAATTACAAAAAACAACTTTTGAGCTAACTCGACCCTAAAAATAATTATAAAATTTCTGCAATGATGTGTAAAATTTTGAAAACATTTGAATTAAAATAACCTATCAGTACAGCTTTGCTTAACCCGAACCAGGATTAGTAAACCCATGTTTCTCAGTATATTTAATGTCGTCGAGATTAGAATAATCATTTTAAAACAAATATATGAACTCTTAATGATAATGGAATTTGCATGACATGATAAATATGAAATTTTGTATGGTTTTGAGACTGGAGTCCGGTAGGGAAATTTGAACCGGCTCCAGTCTGCCTGCGGATAATTGAGTTTTGTTCACATTTTATCTTCTTAAATTTGTATTTTTCAAAAGTTTTTGACCTCTCCTCTCCTCCTCTTTAAATTAAATTAATTTCAAGGTGTTCTTTTGTGATTGGTCGAGAGGAGGAGAGGAGGAAGTGCTTTTGTAAAGTTAGCGTCGTCTTTTTTGTGTGATATTCCTGCACAATTGTGAAAATTAAACAGTGTCCCTCCAGCCTTAAGAATAACAACACCATTTTTCCCCTCGTCCTCTACACTCACATTTTGTAATTGGCTTTTGTGATAATAAATGACACCGCAAAGTAACCAAATTTTGTGACCACACCGCCGCCTTATTTACGCCTCGCACGGTCACTTTTCACCATCGCAGTTACACAAAAGTCACACACATACACAGAAACATACAATTCTCTCGATTTAAAAACTACATTTAACTTCATATTATTTCACAAGAAAGCAGTAAGGATCTCTGGTCCAAATTTCAGCTTTCTACGTTAATTTCTAAAAATCGATATGGGTCACCCCATAGGGTAGCTCTAGATAAAAATTATACCAATTTCATGTCATATTCTTCCATTAGGACCCATAAGCAACCTCTCCACCAAATTTCAGCCCAATATGACAATTTTGAAAAATCAGTATGGGTCACCCCCTAGGGTCCCTCAAGATGAAAATTTTTCCATCTTGAACTCATTTTTATCTATTAGGAGCCATTAGCAACCTCTGTGCCAAATTTCAGCTTTGTACGACAATTTTGAAATTTTGGTGCAGAATGCCCCACCCACTCATACGACCCCCACCGGTCCAAAACTTTTCTGATCGAACCCATCTTCGAACTCGGTCGTTGCATTGCCCAGATACATGTCTGTACCAAATTTGGTCCAAATCCGTCAACTCGTTCGAGAGTTATCGAAAGAGACGGACAGACGGACGGACATGACGATTACATAAGCCCTGGTTCGGGCTCAGTAAATAAAACATAAAAGCTAAGCCGACGTCCTCCCAAACCAGTGAAACTCGGTGATTGGCTGTTGTTGTTTTTGGCTGCACACTTAAAAATATTATGTTGGATTATATAATATTGAACGCATCGAGATAATCGAGATCGGTTTGCGGCATCATATTTATGACCTCGGGGGGAGGATCCTCTTACCTCAATCACCACCCCCTCACACCCAGGGGGTGTGGTCGGGGGAAAATGAGATTTTCACTGAAATTGAATCTATGCATGAGATACTGTGAAATTTAGTGATTCCGAGTTGTGCCGCACCCCCTCGGCACCAAAGGGTGTGGTCTGGGCAAAATGAGATTTTGACTCAAACACTTCGAGTGTCTCATCTATAGATCCAATTTGAGTAAAAATCTCACTTTGCCCAGACCACACCCTTTGGTGCCGAGGGGGTGCGGCACAACTCAGAATCACTAAATTTCACAGTATCTCATGCATAGATTCAATTTCAGTGAAAATCTCATTTTCCCCCGACCACACCCCCTGGGTGTGAGGGGGGTGGTGATTGAGTTAAGGGGATCCTCCCCCCGAGGTCATAAATATGATGCCGCAAACCGATCTCGATGCGTTCAATATTATATAATCCAACATAATATTTTTAAGTGTGCAGCCAAAAACAACAACAGCCAATCACCGAGTTTCACTGGTTTGGGAGGACGTCGGCTTAGCTTTTATGTTTTATTTACTGGGTGTAACAGCTCCTGAAATTTAGACCATGGAAAGAACAGAGCTCAAAATTTTGCCAAAGTATTTTGCCCAGCCCTGCAGAGTTTTAAAGACGTGCACACTTCCAGGATTTCCTTCCTGCAGGATTACGTAACTCAAGACTGAGGAGACCTCCAAGTGGAAAGGCAGGGCTTAACTTGATAAGCTGCTTTCTCGCACAAAATGACTTTCTCTCTCCCTGATTAACTCACCTTCACCTCATCAAACCAAAAAAGAGCGACTTTCCATTACTAAACTACTTCCCTGTCAACGAATAAAATTACACAGGGTTTATTTATTTACAGGAGGAAGTACACGGTAAATAGGAAATGGCCGCTGCAATTCACGCAGTTTTTGATAACTTTGTAAAATCTGTAAGTTTATAAAATAGTTTTAGGAAATCTAACAAACTTTTAGGAAAAAAATTATTTACACATTTTTGTAAAACCTACTCAGGTCAAGGGCGTCTCTTTATTTTGTAAAATTATTTTATAAAACGCACGGATTTTACAAAGTTACAAAGGACTGCGTGAATTGTCTCAATAAATTCTGAATTCTTTCAACAATTATAAAATGGCTTTGTTGCAATTACTTCTAAAACATGTTCAACATTTTTTAATTGCGTTTTAGAAATTTGTCCAATTAAAATTCCGAAATGATAATTTTTCAGTAAGTTTAAATTCGTTTATAAATTATAGATGAGGTCTGTGTCCCGATAATTGAGAAACAAAATCCAATTACGGTGTAATTTTAGTTTTTCAGTTCAAATATTGCCAAAATGGCACGCATTATTTCAACAATTTTATAATTAGAGTTTTGAACTTGGAATTAACCCCATTTTTTCTAATTTACTAAAAAATGTCTTTTTAGAAATTTGTCAAATTAAAACTCCATAACTTTAATTTTTCAAAAATTGTAAAACAATTTATCATTTACAAATAAAGTTGTAATGACAATGACAAATAAGAATGACTTACAAGGGAACATACCGAGGTGTCCAACGAGTTAAGGGTCGACACCTATACCAAAATGACCACAATACATGACTTATTAAACAAACTGAAGGAATTTCCGTGTAAAATTCACTTTTCGTCACGTTGTGACGATATTTGTGACGAGCGCATGACCATCGGGTTGCCAGCGGGAGAGGTCGGCCGCTGAACGATCAGGTCGACCACAGAGAACCGTCGTCGTCTTCAGAGATTTCGAATTCTTTCAAACTTTGAAAACATTTTGAAATTTAGAAAAACTTTTTCAAATTTAGAAGAAATTTCGAAATTTTGGAAAAGTTTTGAAATTTCGAGGAAATTTTGAAATTTTGAGGAAATTTTGAAATTTTGAGGAAATTTTGAAATTTTGAATTTTTGAAACAAATTTCTTCAAAATTTCAAAATGTTTTTAAAATTTCAAAATGTTTTCAAAATTTCTTCAAAATTTCAAAATATGCAAGAATCCGAAATCTGTGAAGACATGAAGACGACGACGCTTCTCTGTGGTCGACCTGATCGTTCAGCGGCCGACCTCTCCCGCTGGCGACCCGACGGTCATACGCTCGTCACAAATATCGTCACGACTTGACGAAAAGTGAATTTTACACGGAAATTCCTTCAGTTTGTTTAATAAGTCATGTATTGTGGTCATTTTGATATAGGTGTCGACCCTTAACTCGTTGGACACCTCGGTATGTTCCCTTGTTAGAACTATGAGAAATGCAGCAAATTAAAATATTTTCAAAATTTTATACTAATCTGTTAGTCTGTTACAAGGTATAAAATTTCAGCGACAATTTCTACATAATCGTTACCAACGCGGTAAGAAAAGCAATTTTTTTCTCGATTCCCACATTTTTACGGGGCGCCCTCTTTTTCATTTTTCATCCCAAACCTGCCAATGCCACCCAATAAAATTCCCCAGCTTACAGAAGATGAAGACAAAACGGTTGGTCACAAAATCGGCTGACCTTGCGTTTCGTTTTCTTCATTTCCTACGACCAGACCACTAAACAAATTATCACTAATGACCCAAAACCAATAAATAAAATCTACCCCCCAACTCCTCGTCAACACGAGCGAGACTTTCTCTCGACAAAATCTATCCGATCGTAGGACGACGACTATTGTCAAATTACAGCATTACTACTAATCCTTCCTTACTTTCACAATGTCACCAAAATTAATGGACCAGCTTAAACAAGTCGGCATAAAGATTACGCTACATACACGCACCCACCGATTGGATTGGGGTGGCTTTGAGGGTTGTACGGGAGGGGAAGCCATATATTCAATTTTGATCATCTACACAACCTACGAAAATTTGGAATAACTTGCCAAAATTTTGTAAAATTCGCTGTTGAAATTTTGCATACAAAATCTCGCGATTTCTTGTGCTGAAAATTTACCCAGGAAATCGATATGGACTTAATTTGCAAGATGCTAAATATTTAGGTCTAAATTCGCAAAGTTTTTCGAAATCTGTGGAATTCCTAGACAAATTTTACCTGGACAAGGATGGGATTTCTTTCTTAACTAAATTCACCAAGAAAAGGACATGTTTTAATTTTGCAAAATTAATTCGCAAACTATGTAAGTATTTGCTAAATGATGATGAAATAAGAAATAAGAAACAAGAAGGTGAAAGGTGAAATAAGATGTTGACGTGAATATGCCCAAAATAACGTGCTTATCTATTTGAAACAGGGTAATTCACAAACTATTTGGTATTTAAATGCTAGATGTGTGATGCGAAATAAGACATTGACGTGAGTACGCCTAAAATAACGAAAAATGAACATGTTTAGCACAGCCCGCTCAGCTAATGACACAGTCGACACAGAATTTTTTTAGGGGGAATTGCATCGTAGCCGAACAAATATTTAGTGAGTGACCATAAACTTTCTCTCCTCTCCCCCTCAAAATCTTACCATAGTCTCGGTTGCAGTATCGTTTCAGCGTGAGGCGATTCGTCGTCACTTTGCATCGTCCGCAGCTCGAAGACGCGTCTCCTGCAAATCAAATCAGAAAATTAGTAACTTTCCCACTTCATTCATATTAAGCAAAAAAATTATTCATAATTTTTTCACTATTTCAGTCAAAAATTCATACATAACTTCATTTAAGATTTTATTCGAGACTACGTTCCATAATTGTTTCAAAATTTTAACATTGCGATATCAAAGTAGGCATTTCACGCAGTGTTTAAAAACATTGTAAACTCCGTAAACTTTGACTAAATTTTCAAAAAATATTTCTGAGGAAAATTAGCTTCCAAATTTTTGTAAACTTACTCAGATGATGGGCGTATTGCTATTTTGTAAAAGGTTGTAAAATTATTTTACAAAGTTACCAATGGCTGCGTGAATTTTCATCACTATTAATTAACTCTACATCCTCTAGTTTTCATGTTCGTTTAGTAAAACGTACTTACATACACTTATTCTCGCTAAAGCGTATAAAATGTAGGGATTTCAAGACACTATTTTACTCCTTTTTACTCCTCCATAATTTTACTCCTTCAAGATTTTACTCCTTTACATCTACCATTCATTTTTAATATTTATTAAAAATTGTACAAATTGCTTGACGGCATTTATTCATTTTTAATATTTATTAAAAATTGTACAAATTGCTTGACGGCATTTATGTAACTCAATTTCAATCCGTGAAATGCCTATGATTCCTATATTTATGTCAAAATTGTTACATCTTCTACTTTCACCACCACCCCAAAAAAATCGTCACCACCACCACCACAAAAATTTTACCCCTCATTCCACCTTCTTCTCAACCCTCGTCTCATTCTTCTTTATCCTCTCCCGATATCTCAATTCCAATCGGATCCATATTCCATTCGTGAGATCCTTAACTTTTCCATCCCACAAAATTTCCTCTCTCTCTCTCTCACCTCATCTATTTCTCCCATCTCCCCAAATTTATCCCATCCCATCCTCGACTGCTTCCATAATATGGTAATGAATTAAGACATAACTCACCCACCTTCTCACAAGGAGAAAAAAACAATACTAGACATATTTTTCCTCCTTTTACTTTTATGACGAATTTCTTGCTCTCCTCACCCAATAATAAACGCCTGCCTCTCGCAACAGTGGCCGCGGAAGCGGTGGGGACATGTGGGGACGGGTAACATTGTAGGATAGGGGAGGGACGGGTTTATATAATGTGCATACCTGTTCAAAAATTCAGTTTTCATTGAAAAGTCAATCATCCCGATTTCTGATTGAAGATTTTCATTCACATTCATTCATTTCACTTCACTTCATCGGACTTCATCTCTTATTTGCCCCATGTATTAAGTACAGGGTGAAAAATTAAAAGAGTGAAAAATCCTTTCATTCACAGTCATTCATCTGAAATGAAATTGTCATTTTCATTCAAATAACAAGAAATTATTTTTCATTCTCTATCAAAATCAGTCAAACGAATGAAGGTGAACAGGTATGATAACATGGGGAGATGATATGGACATTGTCCCTCTGTCCCCACCCAAGCTTCCGCGGCCACTGTCTCTCCACATAGAAATATATCGAGCCTTGTATGTATATTGTTTTACGAGGGGAGGAATGTGGAGGCCTTGGGGAGCTATTGGAGCTCGAGAGAAGGGAGTAATTTCATTAAGTGTAACACGTTTCCACATCAGACACCCCCAGGGACACATTCCTACCAGATCTTATCTTCCACACACACTTATCTCCTTCCCCATCTCGAGACGGACAGACAACAATCCAGCAGATAACCCCGAGAAGAAGGAGAAGATCTCTGCTGCAATTGCTGGTTGGACTGGGCTGGACAAGGGTAATAATCTGGACGTATGAAAGTAAGTGGCCTAGCCCTTGGGCTACCGTTAACCCTTAAACGGACGCACTGCATCCCTATTTATTTATTTTTTTGGGAGTTTAACACGGCACAGATCCGGTGGAATGAGTGTATACAAGTGTAGCCGGATTCCCGGTATGATCATCATCATTACGTAACACATAGATCAAGACAAAGAAGGTAAAACAGAGAGGAAAACATTTACTCGGATCAGAGAGAGGATATGTATTTATTTATGAAAAAGCGGGGAAATATGGATAATATTTGTGAAAAAATGACAAACTATGTACGAAAAAATAAGATTTTTTAAAAATTTGTATTCTTGGTGGTATAGTAATCCACATGAATTTTTTTGACCTTATTTCTTTTAAAATGGACCGAAACAAAATTTGTCCCAAATCGTTGAAATATTTATAAAATATGTTTACGAATTTTTCGAAAATAATATATGTAACAATATTTTGAAATTTTCGTGAACTTGAAGATTTAGGCAACACACCCATAAAGTTTTAACGTTGGTCGTCATCAAATGAAAAAGTTATATGAATACATATCCATCCTCTGTTTACAAGAACACTTCTTAATCCGACCTAGGCAAAAGATGCGTGTTAAAGTGTAACGAGTTAACGAGAATGACATAACATGTACGAGTAAACTTATATGTAGCCATGTACATCGGAGAGGAGAGATGACATTACAGCGGGGGCGGTTAAGAGGGGATCGTAAATTGTGAAGAAATGAGAGTGTCCACTAATTGTTCGTGTGTGCACACTTTGCTTGGCTGAACAGAGTGCATGTCGTGGCAAAATTTCCACCAAGTGGGGTAACATATTTTGTAACCAAATTGACAATTTTGTTACTGCTGAGAGGTCAAAATTTCCTAAAAATTCGACACATCCTTCCCGCACGACACCATTACGTAACGAAAGGACCGGATATCTCTGACTGAGGCCAACTTATTACTTACTCCTCCTGGATTCCACTTGCTTAACCGGAAATTGGCCTTGCTAACACCCCTGAGCGAGATCTGGTTTCTGCATTATCTCCAAAACACGACCACTTTTACTAAAAGTGTGTGACTAATAAAACTCAAAATCCGAGGTAAACCCTTCCTCCGCCGTAATCTCACAGAATCTTGAAACTAACTGTGCCTGTCTTCCTTAATGGGTAATTATTCACGACACCATAAATTAATCTGTACATTTCCTACAAAAATATAGAAACTTTCATGTTCTCAAAAAATATGTCGGAAACATATGAAAAAAAATTATTCACTCCAAAAAATCATATAAAACTTGATCACAAAATAATACGACACTATTCCAGTAACTCTAATTATTCACGTCACCATTAATTAATTCACATATTTCCTAAAAAACATCTCGGAAACATTCCTAAACAATCTCTTGGAAGCATACAATATGCGGCTTTAAAAAAAACGTAAAAATTCATTTCCTCTCAAACTTGATCACAAAACCTAAAGAATATTAAAACAAATTATGCATAGGTATATATATTCACCATAAATCAACGTATAAATTTCCTAAAAAAATATCTCGGAAACATACATATTGCCAAAAAATATCTCGTCTTCCCTCCCAAAATAATTTTCTATCAAGACAACCCAATATTTCCCACCCACCGTGGGAACAAAAAACCTACACACACGTTCCTTCCTTCCTTCCTTTCACCCCGCAGCACTTTCTCTCTCTCTCTCCCCTTAAAAAATGCACACACACAAAAAATCAGGACCCTACAGAAACGATGGAGCAGCATCATCTCAACGCTGACCCCTGTGAGCCCCCACCCACTTCTTCCTAAAATATGCCATCCCCCAGAAAAAATAAAAATAAAATCTCTCCCAAAATTGCCACGGGTTATACTCAACTCTTCTCTCTCTCCGATTGAGTGACGTGCCGTAATAACCATCACATTTTATATTTAGCACCATTCCCACTGTCTGGACGAGATAACGGTCTGCACTGCATATCCACCCACTCACCCACAAGAACAGTGTTACCACTTCATTTCAGCTTTGACACTCCAATAGCCGCGAGGATACATAAAATACTTGGAGAAAGTCCGCCAACCAACCAACCAACTTTCTCTCTCCACATACTTATGGTGAGAAGATAGTGGTGGTGGTGGTGGTGAAAGTAGGGAGGATTTCACCACACGCACAATAAGAGATCGAGCCTGATAGCTCGTACTCTCAGTAGCCAACCAATTTCCTCCCTCCCTCAACAAATGCATGGTCATTTGCATATGTAACATACATAACATAACTTCCCCACCCACGCAGGCAGCATTTCAAATGTGCAACCGCAGCCCTGCACGCACCATTTTAATGACCTGTCCTTCAAAATTCCAGCACAAACCGTGCCGAGGAATTAGTATTGTGCCTCCCTCCCCCACACACATACTAATTTGCATATTACTATTTATTTTCCCCTCCCCTTGAAATAAATTTGTCCATATCAAAATTCCAGCACAAACCACGTGGAGGAATTAGCAAAATTCTATGCACACATGTACTCCCACACTAATTTGCATATTAGTATTTATTTCTTCCCAACTCCGAAATAAATGCAAATACAATCATTGCCGATTTCAAATTTGCAACCAGCCCCGCACGCACAATTTTAATGACCTGTCCTTCAAAATTTTACGAACCACGGGGACGGATGAATTAGCAAAATTCTATACATACACAACATGTACCCCTCCCCCTCCTATTTTGCATATCACTATCCCCTCCCCCAGAAAGAAATGCATCATTATTCTCTTTATGACCAAATATGTAGCAACATCATGACCATAATAATAATAGTAACGAGACCACATTTATTTCCGCTTTTCAAAATATATACCACGAGTCTATTTATCATCGTCATCTTTATCATCATCATCACAGCCCTGTCCATCCAATCTTCTCATCCGACTTATTATTATTAGGGCCATAAATATTGCAATATTTCTACAAAATCTTCAATCATTCTGGTGAAAATGAAGGTACACATTTTCAGAAATATATATTTTTTTAATCCTTCAATTTTTTACTTTATCATCATTCATGCCTAGCTTTCTCCTTGTTTATTCACTTCAAATCTTAAATCATTCCTGGTCAAAAACAAATCAACAAAACTTAACACAAATTTTCAGAAACTAAAAAATCCTTCCTCGTCAAAAATAAACAAAAATGAACACAAGTTTTCAGAAATTAAAAACTCCTCTCATTTTCCTCTTCAGCATTTCCCTGACTTTCTTCTCGCCACGTGTTTCCCTCCCTTCAAATCTCAGATTATTGCTCGTCAAAAATTAATAAAAATTCATACAGCTTTTCAGAAAATCCAACATTTTTCCAGGTAAAAAAGTAAATACAAATTTTCAGAAATTCAAAAATCCTTCCTGGTCCAAAATAAATAAAAACCATACAAAATTTCCGAAACTACAAAATCCTCCCATTTTCCCCCCTCCTCCTCATTCTGCCTGACTTTCTCCTCGCCCTCCACGTGGTTTGTTTCCCTCACTTTCTCTCCTACCGAATTTATAATTTGCTCTCTGTTTTCTTTCCATTATATACAAGAAATCCATCCAAATCCATTCGCACCCTTCCGCCCTTCCAACTTTTAACCGTGACACCTACACGAACTATGACATAACCCTCTCAACAAGTGACTTCCATCCTCAAAAAGTAGATAATCTCTCCAGCAGACAAATCATAACTAACAAGTCAAGTCTCTCCCCCCACAAAAAGTGAACAGCATGCAGCTCAAAAAAACAGCGTCGTAAAAACTTCAAAGGCTTTTCTCGTACGAGAGATTAAGTCAAAATCTCTCCTGCTGCAACATAAAATATGAAGGCAAACGGAGGAGGGGGACCCACGACTTTAAGTCATTCGTCACCCACATCACATTCTCAAGGAGGAAAAAATACACACCAATTTTTACCACGGCCGGCGGAATGAATTGATGAGACCAACAGACCCAGGCCCAGCAAACACTCTAAATAATGTCGGGGCAAACGTGGGAATGATTCTTTGACAGTGAATATTACGGTGAAAAATTGAAAATTTATTGTCTAAAATTTGTGTCAAAATTCTTGTGTCAAAAAAGTTGTCAAAATTCTTTTACTCTGTTGTGACAATGAGTCAATTCACGCAGTATTTTTTTCTAACTTCGTAAATTAGCATGTTTTTAAAAATAATTTTACAAACTTTTCCAAATAAAAGGACGCCCTTGATCTGAGCAAGTTTACAAAAATTTGTATCCTAGTTTTCCTTTTATTACAAATATTTGTAAAATTTTCCAAGTTTATAAAATTTACGAATTTTATTAAAAAATTGGTGTAAAATTTTGGAAATATTTAAATTTTGATTCATTCTGATCTCATCTTTAAGTTAAATTTATATTAAAGTTTTTGCAAAATTATCATTTTGGAATTTTAGTTGAACAAATTTCTATCCTAACCCAACCTGTAAAATCGATTAATTTTGCAAAATAATTTTATAAACTTGTACAAAATATAGGAACGCGCCTCCGATCTGAGTAAGTTTACATAAATTTGGTAGCTAATTTCACAAAGCAATATTGAAAACAATTTCGGAATTTTAGTTGGACAATTTTTTTTAGAGTTTGGAAATTTAAAAAAAATAAACTAAATCATGCAATAAAATATATTTTCCAGGCTAACCTGTTCCTAAAACTAATTATAAAATGGTCGAAACGATTCTAAATTTGAATTTTGCTACAATTTGTGTCACCAACACGGTCACAATTTTGTCACCGAATTATTTCCAGTGTAATTTTTCCTGAGAGAAAGCCCCACCGATGAAATATTAACGTGCGTCCTGCACCAACCGGAGTAAATCATGACCAAAAAGTATGCAGCCCTGCGTAAAGCAAGTCACCAAATTTTTTCCCCATCGACATCGCCGACATGACCCCAAATCCTTTCCGCACAACCTCCAAAACTGCATCTCCTGCACAATCCGTAATACTCTTATTTGTGACCGGAATGCATTTCGTGTGAGTGCCCGACCAAGACCAAAAATCTATCCTACATGTGACATGCACTAAAATCATGGTGTGCCAAATCCATTAAAATAATTAACTTTTCCCCTCCTTCTCCAGCCCGCAAAGTATTAACGAGTGGGTACTTATTGGGATCGATTTGTCCGTCCGACCGTCACATGAAAGTCTTAAAGACAGTAACCTTTTTGATTCTGTTTTCCACCTAATCTTTACAGGAAGAGTGACTTTGCAGGTTAAAAGGTCACGACGTCAGGTCATAATATGGACTTCTTTCCCGCTAATTAATGAGGCAATTCACGCAGTGCTTTGTATCCGTAAATTCTGTACACTTACAAGCATTATCTAAATTTTACCAAATTTTGAAGGAAAATTAGCTTCCAAATTTTTGTAAACTTACCGAGAGCCTCTCCTTATTTTACAAAGTTGCAAAGGACTGCGTGAATTATCTCAATATATTTTTCTCTCTAGTTTGTGACATAAGTTACGAAAACGTAAATATTTATTGATATCAATTTGTCCGTCCGTCCGTACGACAACGAACTTTTTTTTCGTAAATCGACATTTAATTTTTTAATGGACTTTTCATTGGGTGACCTTGCCGGTCAAAAGGTCGCGATGTCAACGGCTATAATAATACACATTTTTCGCTTCCACTACTATATTACATCTGTCGCTCTTTTCCTCTCTTTATTGGAAGACAAGACGAACCTACACCGTCTCCAGATCGAGTCAAACACCCAACAAAATTAAAACCGGTTGAGAAACTGCGCAAAATAATTATCCGCACGGAGATTTATTATCTATGCAATAATAATTTCGCAACATTTTATCCCCCACAAAAATATTGTAAGTAATTTACACCCATTTTAATTACATACCTTGATCCGCAACTCGTCCACTGTTATCCTCCAGCGCCTCGGGCTCCGGCATTTTTGGAATTTCTGCAACAAAAACAAAATAATTAGTGTTAATGGGGGAATTAAAATTTCTACAAAATTATGACACGGAGGACTCCGCCTACTCAAAATTTAAATGTTTTTTTTCTACCACCCAAAATTTTAAGAATGCAAAATTTTGAAAATTTTTTAATTTTCTACATTACGATTTCGAATACTTTGATATCGTTCTTATTTGTCAAAACATGGACTTTATCTGTAAATAATAAATCGTTATAAAATTTGGGAAAAATTATCATTTCGGAGTTTTAATTGGAAATCTTTAAATCTTTAAATCTTAAATCTTTGACAAATCACGGGTTAAAAATCGGGTTAACTCGAAATTGAAACCTATAATTATAAAATTGTTCAAATAATACGTAAAATTTTGACAACATTTAAAATAAAAAAAACATGAATTGAACCGCAATTCGATTTTCTTTCATAATAAGCGACCTCATCTGAAAAGTATATACAATTTTAAAATTATTGAAAAATTATCATTTCGGAATCTTAATTTGACAAATTTCTAAAACGCAGTTTAAAAACTGTTCAACTTGTTTTAGAAGTAATTGCAAGAAAACCATTTTTTTAATTGCTGAAATAATTCTAAATTAATTGAGACCATTCACATATGCCTTGCTAACTTTGCAAAATCAGTGCATTTTGTAAAATACAAAAGAATTGGACGCCCTTGATATGAATAAGTTTACAAAATCTTAGAAGCTAATTTTCGTCCGAAATTATTTTATACCTTGATTTCAGATTATGCAAAAGATTTGTGTAAAATTGTTTTTTACTAGTAATAAAATCTTAAAATAATAAATATGTTTATATTTCAGAAAAATTATTATTTCGGAATTTTAGTTGAACAAATTTCTAAAAAGAAGTCGGACAATTTTAAAATTAATTAGTTACATTATTAAAAAACACATTTTCGGGTTAACTCGACCCTAAAAATAATTACAAAATTGTTGAAATAATGTGTACAATTTTGAAAACGTTTCGGTTGAAAAATTTAAATTGAACTGTGCGTCTATCTACGGCGATACGGTATCTATAAAATAAATGACAAACATTCTAAAATTTTCGAAAAATTATCATTTCGGAACTTAAGTTAGACAAATTTCTAAACACTAGTTTAAAAATTGATTGCCAAAATTAGTACACAATTATTAATAATATTGCAATGACTCCTTCCCTCTGGCACACCTATAAAAACACTATTTTTTCATGCCAAAATTTGAAGATAAAATCATCACAAAAATACTAATTAATTTTTGACAGGGAAAGTACAACAAATTATTTTCTTTCCAAAAGCTCAGGAAATGACGGGACTCGATAAACATGTCAGATCAAAAAAAATCAGCCAAAGCATTCCAATCAGTACACAAAGTTACGTAAGTATGACAGGGAGCAAAAGAATATAAATCAAGAAACGAAACGAGGGAAATGTCCAAAATAATTATTATTTCTCCTTCATCCTGGCTTCGATTTGTTTGATATTATTCTCCCAATTTTATCCCAAAAATTGAAAAACGGAAAAAATTCGAATTGTTTTTTGGTCATGAAAATTTTGAAGGGACCAAATTTTTGGAAACTCTTAAGGAAAAAAAAGCGAACAAGTGACTCCATGCGTGAATCGAATTTAGGAAAATTTTCGGCTTTATTTCTCCTATACTAAAATAAACTTAAAAAATGTCCAAAAATTTTCTAAAAAACTGAAAATTGAGAATTTAAATCGTATTTTTTTGCAATGAACAGTATAAAGGAAAGTAAGTTTAGAATTTTGCTGGAAAAATATGTAGAATTTTTCTTATCTCATGAAAAATCAATCATCATATCAATATGCGAATACTTTTTCGCATATGCATACAAAATTTGCCTCTATAAAAATCAGGATTAAATAAAATCGTGAAAAGTTTTTCGCATATACAAAATTTGCATATCTAGAAAAATAAGGATTAACTAAAACCTGGTAACTAAATAAAATGCATGCAAACCTTCCTTCGCCTCCAACTTTCTCCCGATCCAAATAAAAAGTATTTCGTTTAAACAAAATCATTAAAAAATGCAATATTCATCACAAGAAAATAATAAACCCTCCAATTTTTGCACTGCCACCCATTTCAAACCCGAAATTAATAAGCTCTCCCACGAACGAAACGCAAAGTAAATATGGCTCAAGAAGAAGAAGTAACTAAAACTAAAGTAAATCCTTTCCCGTCAGGGCAACGAACGATCTCAATCTCGCAGATTTCAGCCATTATTATTATTATTACAACGTCCTCCTTCCTTCCTTCGCCTCATCCCACAAGCCTCGTCCAGCGCAGGAAACGTGAAAGAAAGTAAACTAAACTAAACTAACCCAACTAGTGCTTCCAATGAGACGAGACGAGTTGAAATTCACAATTTATAAGATTATCTATCAGAAATTTTACATTTAAAAAATTGTAAATTTTTATCAAAACATAGTGGGAAAATTGAAATTCACAATTTTTAAAATTCCGGAGAAGATCAGAAATTGGTAAAATTTAGCAGGAATTGTAATCAGAAATTTTACATTAAAAAATTGTTAATTTTTATTGAAGCATAATGTAACTTGGTGCAACTCCGTAATTGAAAGTATATATTTTTTTAAATCGACGATTATCCGATTTTCAGATAAAGTATTTATCCAAACCGAATCTGAATCATTCTGTTTCGTCATCAGAAAAATTCGGGTTCGGTACAGATTCGGAACTTCAGATGGATCACACAAAGTGCAGCTTGATGAATGATCTAAAAACGTTTAAAACACTAGTAGTAGTTTTTTTCTTTAATTTGTAAAATGGTGTTTAAATGTGCAAAACTGCAATTTTTGCATAGAAGAATTTTGTTTGCATATTAATCTTGCAGAAACTCTAGTAAATTGTAAATTCGAATTTATTTTGAATTTATTTTCCCATAAAATCAACCCTTGAATTTTCAAATTTTTTCCCCATTTCGTGTTCAGCCCTACCTCCCGAAAACCAGACAAAGTCGAGTCGCACCGTTTATATTATTATTATCCGAAGATCAAAATCTGGTCCAGTTTCTTCCTTCCTTCCTCTCTTACCAATCTAAATATTTACCGGGTGGCTGCCTCATAAGATGATGATGCCGATGCCCGTGCAGATTAATCCTCCCCCGTCCAGGCAAACTTTCCCCGTAAAAATAATGCATATGATTTCAATAAAATATAAAAATATCGTAATAATTATCAAAAAACTTTGACAAAATATTACCGAAAAAACTAACTTTCCGACTAAATATATAACTCCCCTCCCCGTAAAAAAATAAAATAAAGAAGGAAACCTTGTCCGGAATCCTAATCAGGAAAAAAAACGTATCAAGTCATGGGGAAGAATAATGCGGGGAGAAAGTTAAGACGTGAGATTAGTGGAAAGCAGCGGAGAAAGTAAGTATGTAGTCCACAAGTCCACCATAAAAAGAAAAGCTGGCCAGGGAAGAGACGAGCCTTGCAGGACGGATGACATCGTGGAAATATTAGTGATAAGATTTGAGGAAAGGAAATATTTTCAACTTTTTGGGAAATTTTTTAAAAAGGGAAATATTTTTAAGTGTTGCATTTCATTGGCGCGCGTTTAGGCCGTTTAGGGCGCATACAATAGCAGTGATGTTACATATCTAATGAAACGAAGAGGCAATTCAGGCAGGTCTTTGTGACAATACATATAAAGTCCATAAATTCTATCAACTTGCAAACTTTGGCAAAATTTTACAAATATTTCGAAGGAAAATTAGATTCCAAATTATTGTAAACTTATAAAAGCTCGCAAAATTATTTTACAAACTTGACGGATTTTACAAAGTTACCAATTACTGCGTGAATACAGTGTTGATATTTTATCATGCAAAAAGATCAAGGTTTCGTGCAAAAATTCGCGACATCTCTTCTGCCCGGTCCCACAAAGATCTCTTTCTCTTGATACAGATCATAAACTTTATTACGTACACTGATTATTATTTCCGTCGGGTGTACGTAGCCCTAAAAGTGTGCTCCACACTTTCTCTATCCTCTCCTTACCAGCCTCAAACTCACAATGGAGGTCTCCCAGCGTATGCGGTCCGATTTTGAGCAAATTAGTGTCAATCTATCACTAATTTAATTAGTATGAAATTTGCAAAAGACACGATCTCCCAATGGGCACGTTTGGCAGAGATATTTGCATCCCAAGAGGAGAAAACCCCCAGTAAATTTGAAAAGTGTATACTTTGTCAACTTTAGGGTGCGTTTTCTCCTCTTCAGATGCAAATATCTCTGCCAAACGTGCCCATTGGGAAATCATGTCTTTTGCAAATTTCATACTAATTAAATTAGTGATCGATTCCCACTAATTTGGTCAAAATCCGACTACATACGCTGGGAGACCTCCATTGTCAAATGAAATCTATGTATGTCAGTCAGTCGAATGAAGTAAGTAATATTTTCCCCTTGCAAAAAATTGACAAAATATTTTTCTGTTAAGCATATCTAAATTTCTGCAAAAATACAAACTAATGCCGCAAAATGTATCGCTCTTTGCTCCAAAACTGTCAAAACTTAAATTAAACCATGGTCGAATCCAATTAACATTTGCTACTTCAATTTTTGCCGATCAGAATATTTGTATTCTGATCGGCTGTCAAAATACTGATGACAAGTTACATTTACCGGTGACAACTTGTCACTGACAGGTAAATACAGGTGACTTATTCAAGTTAATGACCATATGCAATACCAAATCGGTGCAATTATTTGTAATCCTGTCGCTAAAATAATAAATCCAATTCACTTACTGACGCAGGGCGCGATGGGTGACCGACTTTGTTGATATCCTTTCGCACATCGGTTGCAGGTGAGGCCTGTCACACCATCCTTGCAGGGACATTGACCCGTCGTCTGGTTGCATGTACGGCCTGACGCTCCGACCGGGTGACATTCGCACACTGCAAAAAAAAACGTAAAAAGTTTATGTAAAATGTACAAAATTTTGTGCAAAAAACATAGATTGATAGTTATTTTCAAAGGTTTACAACGGTTATGAAAACTCAATGAGATTCATTAAAACAAATATAATTTCAAAAATTTTATGACTAGTTATCTAAAAATTTTGTTCAACCTTTCGACAAATTTGTGTAACTAAAATTCCGAAATGACAATTTTTCTAAAATTAAATTTGTTGATCATTTGTAGATGACGATGGTTCTACATGTTAAACCAAATTACATATCAATGTAAGTCTTCAATTGAAATGTTTTCAAATTTTACGCATCATTTCAAAATTTTTAGAATTATTTTTAGGGTCGAGTTATCCTGAAAATTAAATTGTTTTTTGTTGTAATTTATTTTAGTTATCCAACTACTTTTTAAAAATTTGTAAAATTAAAATTCCAGAATGATAATTTTTCTAAAATGCTAAATCTAGTCATCATTTATAGATCTTAATCTCAGAAGCAGAATAAATTCAAATAGAATTACAGTTCAATTTAAGTTCTTAAATTGAAATGTTTTCAAAATTGTATACGTATCGACAATTTTGTAATTATTTTTAGGGTCGATGAGTTACCCCGAAAATTGTTTTTTTTTGTAATTTATTTATAGTTTAAAATTATCCACCTTTTTTTAGAAATTGGTCAAATTAAAATTCCGGAATGATAATTTTTCAAAAATTTTAAACCGGTTTATCACTAACAGATCATCTGTGGACCCTAAAATACAATTTATAAACTGTTACTAAATAAAGACACATTTTTTGATTTGTGCAAATTTACGGTACATAGATTCGAAACATGATTTTTATTCGTAACCTTCTAAAATTATTGGGATCTGTAAACAGTATAGTCTTAAAAATGTCTCTTAATTCCATCGGAAATTTTATAAAAATAAAATTATCCCACCAAATGAAAGAAAATCTCTTCATTTTTGCAAATTTACTTTGAAGATTTTCTTCATAATCGATGTCAACTCATCGCGAAACGAAGTCTTTGCAAATTTACCGGGTTCCAAACATTTCTCCAGCCAATCGCGTGATCAACGATTAAACCATAATTGTAAAATTACGACGTACTTACTTAAGTAATCGACCACTCCAATGTAAACATTTAACCTTCTTTTTCCTTCCCGAAATTGAAATTATTATCCCATCATGACAGCCCGGACATGCAAAGAGGTCGTAAAATGAGGACAATGTGGCTCATAAAGGGAAGAAAATAAAGTCATTATCCGGTGAAAAAAATATGCTCGAGTCGAAGTCGACTGCATTTTTTATGTCAATTAAATTATTCCCCTTCCTCAAAACAGCTATGAGGCATGGAAAGAAGCACGTGGTCGAAATTTTCTGATATTTTGACTACAAGACTTGACTTGACATCCTTAATTCTCGGCCCGTGCGGGTAATTGGATAAAAATCTGTCTCTCTCAACTTATGATATAAATAAACACCAACAATCCAGGAAATAGAGGTAGGAGAAAGGCAGTTAATTTATGAACCAGTTTCACCCAAGGTTATTATAGCCTGCAAGTAGCGGAATGTATAATTGTCTCAATTTTCCTCCTTAAAAAAGGCTTAATCAATCTAAGCTTAGCCAAATTTTTTTTAAATAGAAACGAAATTCGGTCTATATAAAATAACTCCTATAAAAATTCAACCAGGTGTAAATTTAGACAATTTAATGCTTAATTGTCTCAATTCCCCTCTTTTAAGAAATGCTTAACTCTAAATTTAGCCTAAATTTTCACTTTTTCCAAATAAAAAATAAGCCAAATTCGATCCCTTTAAATTAAATCGTACTATAAAGTCGACCAGGTGTACTGTAAATTTTCCTTCTTTTTTTATTATGGTCACGAAAAAAACTATGAATTGAGCCGCATAACGCCATAAATGCCTAGAAAATAGATTTTGATTGCAATTTATGTAACCATAAAGTATAAAAAAGGATGCCCTTTCAATAATACGTACTTTCACCCACATGAATTTTATGGGCTTCTCCTACTTACTGACCAGGAAGGATGTCCATAATATAAAAAAAAAACTCGATGCAATTCTACCCACTTTATTATAACCACATGCCGACACACAAGTTCAAGTTGTAAAAAAAATCCAGGGTGTCCGATACCCCATTTTTTTAACAGGCATCCATAAATGACCCCTATTAATTTTATGGGCTATGTTACATGCATATTTGGAAATTTTCTTTATAAACTTCTTTGTACAGTTTTATAAAATGTTGGATACCAATAAGACGAATTTTTACAAAGATCACGCAGGAAAATCAGGTCACAAATGTGTCGTAAATTTACAAAGATTTCTAAGCTAAGTAGTTTGTGCAATAATTTTATGTACGCAAATTTGTAAAGTTTACAATATTCGGGTGAATAACGTGTCATAATTTTGTAAAGAATTTATGACTTCCTTAAAATTAATGGGGGTCGAAATTTCTAAAATTTACCGTCACAGATTACGATATTTTTACTTTCTTCAATTGTTGATGATCTTTTAGCCGTAAAATTCAAATGCAATTTAATCACTAAATTTTATAAAAATGGTAATAATTTCTGACGCAGATTACGGTGTTTTTTCTGATTTTTTCGTTCCAATTTTATCACTAATTTTTTTTGCAAAGTTACAAATTCCCAGAAACCCTGGAACATGCCGTATAATATAATAATAATAAAAAACACTGCAGTTTTCGTCACCCCAATAAATAAATCGTCCCCTTCTCTCCCCACGAATTACACAGGTGACGAATTTTACGACCCGGCACTGCTGCTGCTGCTGGTGCGTTCCAGATATTAAAACATAATTAACTTTTGCTCAACATAAAATTGCACAAGACTTAATAACGTCACTTATGTAAATGAGATATGTTCTCTCAGGTAGAGTCCCGACTAATAAAAAGTCGGAGGGGGATCATCATTGGTCAATCCGCTCCTTAAATTTCAATTTCACACATTACTCTCTCTCTCCCACCCACTCTTTAAAAAATTTGGTGATAAAATTATCTACACTATATTTTACGAGTAGAAAAAAAATCTTCAAAAATTCAAATATAATTTTATGAGGCAACACATTTTAGAAATTTCGACATAAACTTAAGTGCTTTATTTTTACATTGCAATAAGTTACAAATTTGTGACTCTGAAATTTATAACTCAATATTAAAAGGGTTGGTAATAATCTACCTAACTTGAACAAAAACAAAGGACAATTAGGCTTTAAAATTTTTATCTTTCCAAATTGTCATATTTTGACGCCATTTGCAACGAAAACTAATTTATGCTATATTCATCATAATTATAAAGATGAAAAGGTCAAGTCTTGCAAATATTACGAAAGACAATAGGAATCAAATTTATCGCAATATGCTGAATTTTCAAAAATTCGTATGCTCACACATCTACAAAACTTAAGATGCATTTATACTCAGAAAAATTGCGTCAACGTTTTACCTATGGCGCAAATAACCATCGCATCCTAACTCCTCGTCCCCATTTACGCCACATGTTAAAAAATCCCTACAAGTACTTTTGCACGCCTGCATCTATAACAAGCAACTTGCGCCAAAGTTATACCTTAACTATGGCGCAAATAACCAATGTCCTCCCCATTTACGCCACGTTTAAAAAAATTGATGCCTTTTTACTAAGAAAACTCGCGCCAACATTGTACCTTATTGCTTAACTATGGCGCAAATTACTACCATCTCACCCTAATTCCTTATCCTCATTTACGCCACATGTTAAAAAATAACCCCTTCACTTACTTTTACACGCCTTCCTGTGATTGACCGGTCTGGCGGGGTCACGAGCATAGCCTTCCTTGCAGTAGTGGCAGAATCGTCCAGCCGTGTTGTGACGACACTTGAGACAAACGCCGCCCGAGGTTCGGCCCGAAAGTCGGTACAGTTCCATGTTGAAACGACACCGTCTCGAGTGACCGTTGCACTGACAGGCTGAAATCCAATAAAAAATTACACATTAACATTTTTACCACCATTACATAATAACTTGACAAAAATGGGTCATAAATCATCACCACAACCACTAAACAATGTAGCTCATCATAACTATTTCAGACCGCAGAAGGGGGCAAAATACCAAGGGGATTTTTGCAGTCATTGGTAACTTTGTAAAATGGGGAAGTTTTGTAAAATAATTTTACAAACTTTACAAAAAAGAGACGCCCTTGATCTGAGCAAGTTTCAAAAAAGTTGCGAGCTAATTTTCCTCAGAAATATTTGTAAAGTTTGTATCCTATAATAATTTTTAGTAAACGAAAATATAATTTTGAGTTTACAAAGATAGTACTTTATTCGTTTCGAAATCTATTCCCATCAATTTTCAATTTTTTTAACTCGAATTTGACGACTTTTAAGCCAAAAACGTTTCAAGATTTGGCATCGTAAGCTAATTATTCTCAGAAATATTTGTAAAATTTTGTAAGTTTACAGAATTTACGGGTATTACAATCAGGCAATTCACGTCTACCTTCGTAAGTTATGGAATTTACCAATTTTACAGTGTTAAAAAGGCCTGCGTGAATTACCTTATTATTTCTCACAAAGGTTTCCGCCTTAATGCAGATTGTTGCCTTTTTATCGGTCTAGAAATCCAAGCCCTTTGAAGACCGAACCTCAAAATACGGTATTTTGCCCACCTCTGCTGCATTTCACCACTTCTTATTCCTTCCCACCGACAATTAGTCTCTCGCTGTGGGCTCGTAATTCATCCCGTCTTTAAACCCCGCGACCTGTGTGACCCCTTCAACTCTCTTGGGTGTAAAATAAAGGGTGGACGTGGACGTGGATGAACACGAGGTGTGAAACCATAATCATCACTTTGCCTTGCCTGGTCGGCCAAACGTTTCAACGAGAAGAAGAAGAAGAGTCAATCCTCTCTCTCACCACCACAATTTCAATCTCAATAATAATAATATTGAATTTCAATCCTCTCACAAAAATTCATGTCTATGTACATACATACATTTTACATTTTACTGAAAGGGACGCCTGGTGGGCCATGGTCTGCCCAGCGTGAAAAAGGAGAAGACTCAAAATATAATGGTGATGAGAATATACATACAAAATCCGACCCTCTCTTCATTCTTCAAGATCTCCAAGATTCCACGTATTTCGCATTCTTTCCCCTTCTTTTTTACGAGGATACATCAAAGAATAGAGTATGGGCGGAGGTCGCTCAATAATAAAACCGAGAAGATCAGAATTTGGGCAGTAGTGTGAAACTTGCACTTAATAAGAGAGAGAGGAGTCTATACGTAAAGGATGACATTTATTCTGAAGGGACCACACCTCTTCTAAAAATCGGTGACATCCTTTATCATTATCCTCGACATGACATCTGCACCACAAAACGTCCCATGTCTGACGGAGGAGAATGAGACTGACAATGCCGTCCCAATTTGCACAGAAGTTTCTCCCAAATCAATTGAATGCTTCTTTTTTTGCAATAAAAAAATCTTCAGGATTTTTTTGAGACCCAAATAAATATCGACCAGAAGGATCTTAAAAACTGGGGAAAACTAATGATCCGAAAGTCTGAAGAGCTTCTAGGCTCTAAATTAATTCCTCAACCTTTACTTCGATCTATTCAATTTTCACTGTACCACAAACAACCATTTTCTTTACCCGGAAATCAATTTACCTTTGGGGGAAAGACAGTGAGAAAATGAAGGGAAAAATATTTTTATCTTTTTTCCGGTGGGAATAAGAGCACATGTTCTTCACTCATCTGTAAAACAACTCGTCCCATTTTTTTCATTTAATTTATGTAAAACCCAAAGTATGTAGATGTATGCTTTTAATATTTTATTGCAACGCAATTCTTCTGCTTAACCACTTTTCAAATTTCAAAAAAGTTTTTTGAAAATATGAAAAATTGATGGGAACGAACAAGCGAGTCTGTCGTTAGAGGCATCTTCTCTTTAGATTAATTAATGACAATCAATAATTGATATTAATTTAAATTGTAACTTTTGAGCAGTTACGATAATTTTCCAATTCTTGACCAAAATGAGACAAATCAAAATTAGATCTGTATAAGATTCGGATCAAAATGCAGCTTTTACATGTCTGATTTACTGATTTTATCGTTTTCGGTTAAAATTATAAAAATTCTCTCCAGTTTAAACCATTTTATTTATTCCCATGTCACACAATTGAACATACAAGGTTCATGAAAACAAGCTCGTGCACATACAACATACATAAAAATAATACACACCTAGACCTGTGCCTGGCTACTTACTTATCTGAACAAGCCTGCTAAACAAACTCTTAAAACGTCAAACCACATTTCCGTCTATGTCGAATTTTGTCCCATTTTCCGGCAGAATTACAAAAAATCTCCGTCATTCTAAATTACTCTGGAGAGGTCCTTCATAGAAAAAATTAACGATTTACAAGCTTTACACTCATGTAGGGTGCACATTTATAAACAAATCCACAGGCCTGCTCCCTGGACCTGTGGCTGGCTACTTACGAGTACGACTAATCTAAAAAAAACTTTTACTAATAAAACGTCAAACTACATCGTCTCTCCTACTCCGTGACCACTTCACCTTTCTTTTTACCTCTTCAACCCAACCACTAGCGGCTAAAAACACTATGTATTTTTTTCGCAAAAAGCAATCACTCACTCACTCACTCACTCCATCCATCCTTCATTTCTCTCTCTCTCTCTCTCTTTCCTTTATCAAGCAGCAGATGCAAATTGAATTTTGATGAGAATTGGAAGAGCACAGTCAAAATAAAACGCGATGCCAATTTATCCTTCCACGCACCTTCAAAAATAAAAATCCATCCATCCATCCACCACTCTTTTCTGTTCTTTTACCACTAATAAGCGTCACCCCGAGACAAACAGGCACTCACCGACCAGCTAAATAATTCGTCACGTGCGTAAAGGATGTCACCTTTATGATAAAGTTTCTATGTTGATACCGAAATCAGAGTTGCGTCGGTTGGACACTTTGTCTGATCCATCCGAACTGAATCAGAATATTTTATCTGAAAAATATCCATCCGAACCGAATCCGAATTTTTCTGTTGAAAATTATCCACCCGAACCGAATCCGAATTTTTCTGTTGAAAAATATCCAAACCGAGCTTAATGATTCGGATGAGTGAATACTTTATCCGAAAGTCGGATAACCGACTAAGCTACCGAAATCGTGAATTTCACCAAGAAACAAGCCCTATGCAGACTAATGACTAATATAATTAATTTATCAATTTAAATTTTAGCTTTGTTTTATTTATTTTGACGTATGTACAAGTTTGCATAATTGGTAAAAAAAAGAAATTAAACAAACTTGCGTTTTCGAGTCGAAAATATAAGTTTGTTTAATTTCGTGTTTCTAGTGAATTTAATAATAAATTTTAAAATTTCATATTTTTGGATTCCAAATTCGTCAAAAAAAGTTTAATCCTCCAAAAACTTTTACACATTTTTATTTCAGTCTCCGAAATAGATACGATGTTCTAATAAGAAACTTGAAATGGTCGAACTGCAGAACTGTCGACTGTGTGTGCCTAATTCTGCGAATAGTTTCGCTCTGCATACACGTTTTCTAAAGAAAATTGAACCAAATTTGGACAGAAATTGTCAAAAAATTCAACCAGGGCAATTTCTCCCCATAAAAATATCTACATCTTTCCCACAATACACATTTCCTGCAGAAAATTCTGACAAATTTCAAAAATCTCAACCAGGGATAATTTCAAAAATACCCACATCCTTCTCGCACTCCCTCCTCAACAAAGTAAGTAAGTAAGAAAAACAACAACCAAATCTAATTTCTATCTCGTCCTCATCTCATTATATTATGAATCCCTCGTCGTCTTTTTCCACCTTCTTAAGTGTTCCAGGAAGAAAACACGGTTTCTTTCTTCCTCTTCCTCTCCTCCAATCTTCTCCACTTTGGAGAAAGTGAATTCATCTTTCGCCTTTTTTCATTTCCATTTTCATTTTTCTATCTCGGCTTGATGCAATTTTCAGAAATAAATTTAATCAAACAAACAGAGAAGAAGAAGAAAACTTGCATCTCGATCTCACATGTGAGTGAGTGAAGGTTACGTACACATAATTTTACGACCGAGAACGAGAAAGATGCCAATGTCAATTATGTTACGTAACGTGTAACCCGAGGGCACAAGAAATAAGTACTGAACCAAGAACCACTTAGGTATTTTAGTCAAAAGTCAAACAAAATTAAGACAAAATTACACCTTTCATGCCCCACATGTGACATGACATCTCGGAGGAGAGTGTATGCGCCCAAAGAAAAATAGAAAAAGCAACAGGTGGAACAAAGTAGCGGAAGGGTATGACTGATGACCTGGAGATTTGACCTTGAAGGTCATCTAACGAATTTGTCTGATTTGTAAAATTATTTTAAAAGGTTGACACGTTCGAGAATTATCGATCCGAAAAACTACTGGAGAAAAATGTGTAATTAAATAGCTGAAAATAAATTCCTATCTTTATGAAGTGTGACCTGGCGCCGTGACCTTTTGACCTACAAAATCCGCCAAACGAAACCTCTTTCCCTTTAAAACTTAGGTGTCGGTATCCAAATATAATGTAAACAAAGGGTGACGCATTCTATTCTTATCGTGCCTACGGACGGAAGGAGTAGTGGAAAATAAATGGCTTTAGGGTGTCCCAACTTTGTAAAAAAAATCGCTTTTTCCGCTCACGATTTTTTCGCTCTTTTTGTAAACCGCACTGCGCATGCGATTCCGATCTTTTTTCCGCTTTTTCTGCTCAAAAATAAAATCTACTTTAAGATGATTTTTTCGCTCTTTTTACTACTTTGAGTGAAAAATCAGTCTCTCAGAGACATGTTTAAGGGGACATCGCCCGATTTTGATGCCCTATGGAATATATTGCAATATCAGGTGAGTGTATGAAAAGTGAGGGAGGATTTTATTCC